AAAAAGTATCGATTCTTTTTTGAAAAAGTAGCGATTCACTTTAGAAAAAGTAGCGATTCTTTTTTTGAAAAAGTAACGATTCACTTTCGAAAAAGTATCAATTCTTTTTTGAAAAAGTATTGATTCTTTTTAGAAAAAGTATCGATTCTTTTTTGAAAAAGTATTGATTCTTTTTAGAAAAAGTATTGATTTACTTTCGAAAAAGTATCGATTCATTTTCGAAAAAAGTATCAATTCTTTTCGACAAAGTAGCGATTCATTTTTGAAAATGTATCGATTCATTTTTGAAAAAGTATCGATTCACTTTTGAAAAAGTATCGATTCTTTTCGAAAAAGTAGCAATTAAATTTTGAAAAAGTATTGGTGCCCTTGAAAAAGTAGCAATTCATTTTTGAAAAAGTAGCAATTCATTTTTTTTAAAAAGTAGCGATTCATTTTTGAAAAAGTAGCGATTCACTTTCGAAAAAGTAGCGATTCACTTTCGAAAAAGTAGCGATTCATTTTTGAAAAAGCATCGGTTCACTTTTTAAAAAAGTAGCGATTCTTTTCGAAAAAGTAGTAATTCATTTTGAAAAAGTAGCGATTCATTTTTTGAAAAAGTATCGGTTCACTTTTGCAAAAAGTATCGATTCTTTTCGAAAAAGTAGTAATTCATTTTTAAAAAGTAGCAATTCATTTTTGAAAAAGTATCGATTCACTTTTGAAAAAAGTAGCGATTCTTTTCGAAAAAGTAGCTATTCATTTTTGAAAAAGTATCGGTTCACTTGAAAAAGTAGCAATTCATTTTTGAAAAAGTATCGATTCATTTTTGAAAAAGTAGCGATTCATTTTTGAAAAAGTATCGGTTCACTTTTTGAAAAAAGTATCGATTCTTTTCGAAAAAGTATCGAATCATTTTTGAAAAAGTAGCGATTTAACTGAATCTGTAAGTCAGCTACACTGTTTAATTCTGAATATTATATTTTATTCTGGTGCGCTTAACGTTATCGTTTTCTCAGTGTTTAGGCTCCTGTGTAATAGTAGTCTAGGCTATTCAGCAACTCAAACATACCAAAATCAACAATTACTACAAACACACAAAAACTGATTTTGCACGGGCATTGCACTAGTTATTATCAATGTTAAAAACAGTTGTGCTGCTTAATATTTTTGTGGAAACCATGATACATTTTTTTCAAGGTACTTTGATGAATATAAACCCAGACAGCAACAGTGTGTCGGCCCAGATTCGACCCACATCTGGGACGTGTGGAATCCACGTGTTGCTGTCTGGAAAGTTCAAAAGAACAGAATTTATTTGAAGTAAAAAATGTATACAAAATTATAAATGTCACTTCTGATGCATTTTATCCATCCTTGCTGAATAAAAGTATTCATTCTTAATCTTCTTATGATTAATATGATATATTGTTAACATGAATGATTTCCATTATTAATAGTATACAGACATGAATTCTTCACGCAACATCTTCATCTTTGGATTCTCCATGTTCACTGGGCTTACCATTCCTAACTGGACAATGAAAAACCCCACATCTATAGCGACAGGTAGCCATATACGCTATGATCAGTACTGGAAAAGCACATTCTACAGACTCTTACAGACACATCTCCTCTCAACATCCTGTTTGTATTCCTATTAAATCTCTTGTGCTATACTTTTTGTATTAGGAGTTGTTGAACTGGACCATGTGCTTCTAGTGCTTCTGACAACCAGTATGTTTGTCGGAGGATTGTTTGGATTTCTCCTTGATAACACAATACCTGGTGAGTTCTGCTAATAACCTGCTTCAGTAACTGTACCAATTCCAATATCTGATTCATCAAGTAACTTTGCGCCTTTGCGATACCTTTTCTGTTTAATATTCATGCAGGAACAAAACGCGAACGGGGCATTATTGCATGGAACAGGGCCCACCAAAATGAGTCAGACAACACCTTAGAAAGTGATGACGTGTATGGGCTGCCCTTTGGAATTAAAACCTGCCTCTCTTCCTTCACATGGACCAAGTATGTGCCCTTCTGCCCTACACACAAAGTCAGCACACAGGATGACACACCATCCAGTTTGGATTCTTTGGACACCAAAAAAGAGCCTAACAAGGACGATGCACACATCATAGTGGGGGTGGCGTTATAGTCTGTGAAGGAGACTTCCATCTGAAAATCAGAGAAATTTAGTCTAAAGTAGAAAAAAGCTCCTAATTGTGTGACTCTTAAGTCACATTCAGAGGTATGGACTGAACTGAGAAGGCAGCTACCCCCCATTTTCATAATTTAATATCTAATCTGAAGCAGTACTGTTCAAATCTCTCTCTCTCTCTCTCTCTCTCTCTCTCTCTCTCTCTCTCTCTCTCTCTCTCTCTCTCTCTCTCTCTCTCTCTCTCTCTCTCTCTCTCTCTCTCTCTCTCTCTCTCTCTCTCTCTCTCTCTCTCTCTCTCTCTCTCTCTCTCTCTCTCTCTCTCTCTATTTTCATCTTTATGGAAACATAATGTTAATCAATAATGGGTAACACTTCACAATCAGGTCACATTAGTTAATGACTAATGCATTAAAATGAGCAATACATTTGTTAAAATGTATTAATCTTTGTTAATGTTAGTTTATAAATATACAACTTATTGTTAGTTCGTGTTAGCTCAGGTCCATTAAATAAAATCAACAGATACAGCTTTTGATTTTTATAATTTATTAGTAAATGTTGGGATTAACATTTACTACGATTAATAAATGTTTTACCTTTTTTTTTCATTGTTAGTTCATGTTAACTAATGATTGAACTAATGTTAACAAGGCCTACTTAAAGTGTTACCGATTAATGTTTTTTTTTTATATACTCTTAATGGTGCTGGGTGATTTTAAATAAAGATGATAACAGCAAACACATTTTTAAAATGCTAATTTTAAATGGAATAATTATAAATTGCATTGTATTTCTTACACATATTTTGTTTAAAATAAATTATTTTACTCTGTAATTTTTTTTTATATTGTTTTAAGAAGAAACAAAAAAGTTTCTAGATTTTTAAAACATGCAAATATTACTGTATCTGTAACACATCATCTAAATAATCACTATAAATATTTTTTTTCTGCATATTTAATTAAGTTTGCTTGCTTAAAGTTTAGGTCATAGTCTTTAGCTAAGTCTTTAGTCATTTCCAAGTAGGCAACTCGGCTATTTGTCATTAGTTTTATAGCTTTGTTTCTAGGGCTAGAATTGGGATTCTGATTACCGTCCTCAATACAACGCCTACTGTCTGTGACATAATTCGGTGGTCACAGAAATCGGCACAACACCCGAACAAAATAACGATTGTTTGATTCATTTGACCTCTCCAAACGCATGCGTGACATTTTACTCTTGTAGAGTTATACAAACATATTTGATAAGGTATAAATATACATTTTACTAATTAAATAAACTCAGTTTTGGAATTCACACGATGTTATTGAAGCTTTTTATTAAGCTTAAAGGAACACACAATTTATGGATAATAAATCTGTTAACTGCTCTGTGGAGATCCTTAAAACACACCTGATGGACACATGCTGAAATATTGTCTGTATTTAAATGGTCCTCAGAGACTCTAAACCCCAGATAATGAGGCTATATAAAATATCTGGCCGTTGTAGTGTTGATTGACAGTGTTGAGGTGGACGTGAGAGTTCAGTAAAAGTTCCTAAAAAGACCACAATACAAAATGAAACTGTAGTGTGGCAGTTAACAGGATTAAATGATTTACAGTAAGCTTTGCTGAGACAAGATTATAATTAGGTCTAAGCTATTAGTACAGGTTTTCTCATTTTCGAACACATTTCATGAAACTTTTTGCGATTTTCTCACATATAGGCTAAGCGTAATCTCAAAACTACACAAATAGTTCTGTCTCTTTTATCAGAATCAAACTGGCCTCAGATGACACAACACCTAACAAATAGCCTGCACATAGGCCTACTACTGTACTTCCGAACACTATAGTGAGATCAATTCAAAACACTGTAATTCAGAAATAATTTTGCAGCTTATATTTTATGAATGAGAAAAAACTAAATGTTTTTAATACCATTATTCACCTTTCCTCATTTGGCACTCGTGTTTTGTAATCCACAAGATGGCGCTAAATAACAACAGTTGACACACTCTTCCATCCATTTCAATCCATTTTGGACGGAGCTCCATTTTTCTCTAGCCTACTACAATCCATTGTCAGTGATCTGCTAAATTCATACCTTTGCAAATAGACGAAGAACCATCATGGATGCTCTCTGGTTAATCCTAAACCTTTTTGCACCCCTTTCAGCACTTTTGAGACCCTTTTCTTCCCATTAAAATCAGACTATTGAACTCTAACACAGATGCATGCTGTAGGCATTTGCTAAAGAGGGACAGCTACTTGTCTAATTGTCAAAATCAAGCCTAAGTGCATCAGCAGCAGATGTTCCTCTGCGTTCCAATTGAAGGTGTTGCTGTTACAATTGCTCACATAAGTAAAACAGTGTGAAACACACCCAAGGTGCATAGAAGTTGATTTAGTGTTATGGAGCTTGGAGTGGAAAGCATGGTTGGTGGAAAACTGTGGTAGGTCTACTAAGTGCCTTATTATATATTGCATTTGAAAATCCTGGTCTGTTCTGTAGAAGAATGTCTGAAATACTGAGCTGAACGTGCATATGCCCTCACATAAATCAAGGTATTTTCCTACAAATGTGTAAAAACTTGACATTATGTAAAGGTCAGCATTCAGTGAATATTTTTTGGGCCTGAAAATGTTCCAGTTTTTTTTTTTTTTTTTTTTTTTTGGCCCTCACCTATCACAATATCAGCCCAAACTCTTCTTCAAATTTTCAAGATTGTTTTAATTTTATATGTGCATACAGTTTTTGACCAATTAAACAATGGAAAATTGTTTCTCTCAATTATTGTTTTTTTTATGCATCTGTTGTTTATTTCAAATATGAATGCATATCTGTTATGCATTGGCCAATAAGTTTATTTTTAAACTGGTTTTTCACAATGACGTCTATCACTTCACAGTCGTGCTGAAAGGGAAAAAGAATGAAAACCACATTTTTTTTGTTCATCTTCCATCCTGCTGAGTGCATGATTCTTGGCACCTGTATATCAGTTTCCATTGAGGACAGAATCCTGTGGAAGCCATCTGTTGTGATCTCTCCATCCTCAGGCTTCTGGTCCAATGTTCCTCCCTTTCCCTAAATCCCTAATAAATGAGACTTTGATTAGGGATGGTGAAGCTGATCATCCTAACCACAACAGAGCTAACTTACTCAGGCGTGACCATCAAACTATTACCTATATCTGCTCCTCATAATCAGCATGCTGATCACGCTAATCACTATCATCAAAGGGAGACATATATATTCCAAGAGAGACTAAAGCACTTTCAAGAGCACGCAATTTTTCCACAGTAGAAGCATCTTGTTATTGCTGAGGAGGAAAAGGAGGGAATATCTGGGCTTTAATATAGGCCTAATAATTAAAATATATGTGAAAGGACCCACAATTAAAATAATATTTAAATGAAAAACAAAAGTGCTTTTTAAGCATGTTTTGGCTACATTGTGATTTAGCAATAATAATTAACTAGATTTTTTTTTTTTTTTAAAGAAAATAGTGCTTTTTAAAAAAAAAAAAGGAAATAACGGCAGCCCTGAACCGCAATGTAAAAATAAAATCCTTTAAAAAAAAAATGCTAGCATTTCGAGATTAAAGTCGAAATATTTCGAGAATAAAGTCGTAATATTTTGAGAATAAAGTCGAAATATTTCGAGAATAAAGTAATTTTTTGAGAATAAAGTTTTTTTTTTTTTTTTTTTTTTGCGGTTCAGGGCTTCCGTAGTAAATAGTGCTTACCCATGCTTTCACAGCTAAAATGCTGAAGGTTCTGATTGGTTGCTAGGCTGTTGCTGGGTGGTAACTGTTTAATAAGGTGTTCTGATTGGTTGAAGATGGTTGCTGACTGGTCCATGGGAGAGCCATATAGAGATAGACTTTCTATGTAATTAACTACTCAACTTCAAATTTCCATCTCATAAATTACTTAATTAGGATTTTTTATGTCGCCATTTTATGTCATAATTAGAATTTACAAAAGCATGATTTAGTGGAAGAATTGGCTTCCATACATTATCAGTCTAATCAGTCAGCTCAAGTCAAGGTTTCCTCTCCACTAACCTTCGTGGGAATGAAACCTTCGATTAGCAGATGATGCCTGAGAACTGCAGCATATTGTTTCTTCACTTCTGATATTCAGAGGAATCTGGGGCTTGTGATGGTGTGATCCCTGTGGAGAAGATGATTCTAGTAAAGTCTGCTGGACATCCTGGTCTCCTCGCTCTGGCCTCAAGGCTGTGTCCCTGGAGTGTTTGATGAGGCAGCTCCGGTGCCAGATGACCCAGCCCGAATCTCTCGAAAGCAGACCCGAGACACAAGCACTCAATGTGGGCTTATAATCCTGCTTATCATCTCAGGCCAAAAAAGCATTCTTCATCTACCTCTTCCAATGAAACCAGTTTTATGGTTACTCTGTCCATTGCGTGGATAGAAAACTGATGAATAGAAAGGAAGAGGTCACGAAGACAACAGGGTGTAGAAAGACCAAAAACATATGTATTTCAGAGTTGTCAATAGTTCATCCTTTAAAAAGTGTCAGGATTGAAAAGGCAAGGCTTGTGCTGATAAGCAGCTGTCACAAACTGACAATGAACACATTGTGAACATATCCGTTAAAGTGCAGTCTGAGGTTATAACTGAAACCATTAGGAACGTGTTCTTTGCTGGTTTTAGTGGCTATGAATGTCGCTCAAATCAATGTGTGCATGGGCTCACCCACAAAGGGGAGATAACAGGTAAAAGAGTTATATTTAAAATGTTTATTGAAGTCATGAAAGAAATGCCCCCTTACCTCACTGAAAATGATTTAGGGGCTGTTCACACAGAAAGCGTTTTTCCATTCCACTGTACTACTCTTCCATTGTTTTAAAGGGAAAGTTCACCCAAAAATGAAAATTCTGTAATTAATGACTCACCCTCAGGTCGTTCCAAACCCGTAAGACCTTCGTTCATCTTCGGAACACAGATTAAGATTTTTTTTTGATGAAATCCAAGAGCTTTCTGCAAAATATTTTTTTTTCACAAAATTGACCAGAAAGGACATGACATCACCAAGGATTTCACCAATATGGCATTATAAATGGAAACTGTTCATTTATGAGCACCTGTCATACAGAGTGCATTGTTCTCAGTCAATTCTGATTAATAAAATTGAATTCCATCCTACATTTGTTTTCTTGTTGAATATCCAGCTTTATTCTGGGCCTCATTGACTTATACATGTCAGTACATGTGTTTTATAATGTTTTAGTAAGAAGTCTATATGCTCAACATTTGGTCAAATATACAGTACAGTAATATTGCAAAATATTATTCAAATTTAAAATAACTATTTTTTATTTGAATATATTTTAAAATGTAATGTATTCCTATGATGAGAAGGCTGAATTTTCAGCAGAAATTATTCCGGTCCTCAGTGTCACATGATCCTCCAGAAATAATTCTGAATTTGATTTGCTGATCTGATGCTCAAGAAATATTTCTTACTATCAATGTTGAAAACGGTTGTGCTGCTAAACATTTTTTTTTTTGATGAATAGAAAGTTCAATAGAACAGGATTTATTTGAAATAGAAATCTTCTGTAACATTATCTAAATGTCTTTACTGTCACTTTTGATCAGTTTAATGCATCCTTCCTGAATACAAGTATTAATTTCTTTAACAAAAAAAGAATCACTGACTCCAAACTTTTAAACAGTAAATGTCGGTAAAATGGGTTAAAAAAGCCCTTATATGTTGACTTATATAACCTACATAACAGGATTTTATACATAACATACCTGAATATTCAAAGTGGTAAACAGATAATGTTGCCAACGCCAAATACCCGCTTGCTACACTTTCCACCAAAGAGAGGCAGCTGATCTAAGGCCCAGTTTCAATATCTTTATTTGCCATTATAGAAAGGTGCCGAGATTGACCACTCAGTTCTTGGCTGTAAGGATACAGCTCTTGTTCTGATTTTATCTCCTGCTGTGTTCCTGGCCACAGGCCCATCACCAGGCGCACTGACCTGAAAGGAAATCCCTCATTTAACAGTCGCCGGGAGAACTATCACATAACACCAGGGCCAATACATTCAGCCACAGAACAGTCACACCTAACCAAAGGTCATCTGTCCCACAGAGCTTTGCATTTATTAGCAAAATCTTCTCCCAAGGGGAGTTGGTTTTGCAAAACCTCTGCACATAATTTTCCTTTCAGGTTAATCAGACAAGTTTCATGCACTGATTATTCGAATCTCTAAATGTATGTGTTTTGCTGCATGAACATTGGCGTACATTATGCTGTGGCGGTGACATCATTGTTTAAAAACTGTAATTAGTATTGGATGAACAGATTTTCAGACACGCATGACGGCATACACTGAAGAACTGTACTCTGCTGTTTCCTTCTAAGAAACACATCAAGTGAAGGTAGAGAGGTGTTATGCATGATTGTGGTGTTAACTGATTTGCATAATTCCTAATTATAATTCTGATGCTGAAACAAGCAGACAGTGCATGTTAAAATAAATAAAGCCATAAGTCTTAGAAGGGGCTCAGTGTATATAAGGTGAATATATACAGTAGAATTAGTATAGTTTCTGTTAACGAATCCAAGTTTTAACTGGCTTTACCTAGCAAATAGCTTGATCTAATTTCTTAATTGGGATTCAAATTAAGGTCAAGCAACTGCTGCCTAAAGCAGAGCGATTTAGAAGATTCAGTCTTAAAGAAGCCCCAAACTGGGCCATTCATTTCAGAGCAGATTAGGATTATACTGCCATATATTAGAATAAAGGGTAACACTTTTGAATATCGTGTTACTCATTTGTTCCTGTGTTATTCATTAATGACTGAACAGTATTGTTACCAAATAAAGCAATAAGCAACTTGAGGCTACTGATTTTATCAGGGCTGCATAAAAGGTTGGCAACAGCAAGACAATAAAAGACCAAATGTCATAGTAATGATAATAATCAGAATAATTCTAATGGCAAGTAATATAGTTAATTAGGCTGTTTGTGGAAGCCAAACAATGCAGCAGTAAAAATGTCCAGTAAAAATAATAAATAACCTAACAAAAATATTGTTTTAAAGAAAAACCTGTATAAGACATTAATGCTTGTTTTCATAGATTTTATCTTGAATATAAATTATTTTGTTTTACTGCACTGGCAGATTTTTTTCTCCCTAATTTTAAGTATAAACAAATTCATACATTTATATTTAAGTATAAATTAATAGGTCTTGTTTCAGGAATTTTAAAATATTATATTTGGAAAATAAAACACCAGGATTTGCAGTGTTTTAATAAAGCACTTACATGCCATAAAACACGCTTTTTGTTTCTGGTAATCTATTTAGAGTTGTGTTATGATGTGAAACTGTTTGCTGGGTAAAAAAACAAACATATCTTGACTGTATACTCTGAGCTTCACCCAACTGGCAAAGGTTTATCATACTTCTATCTTTACTGGAAGAAAAGTAATTTCCACAGCGGACCTATTAATATTAATCTTTCTTTAGACAAGAAAATATGCTTACTGCACTCTACAAGCCAAATGACTCCTTCTGTCCTGTGCACACTTGCAAGGTCTTTCATAACATCAGAAGAGCATCTCATGGGTTCGCTCTTTCACCTCTTAGCTCTACTAGAACAGACCTTTCATCTGTCTTTTCATCTGGTTCGCTTCCAGGGAAATGCTGGCACAAACATACACACAATTTCACATGCACTCACAGACACACAAGCAGGTGTGAGAAATATGAAATGATTTTCTGCTGCAAATTGTGAAATCCACTTAGACTGTTTTCACAGCTGTGTGATAGGCGCCAGTATAGGGCCAGACGGAGCAGCGCATTAAAAAAAAAAATCAAGCCTTAGGGAAAGATACACTCTTGAAGAATGTTGCATATTGCAATGCTTCATTATGGTGATTGAGACAGTGACCAGTGAGGAAGTGACATGTTTTGTGGTGCATTTTTCCACAGCACTAGTTTTCCATAGCTATGTAAAGTAGGCTACACATAGTTCTTGTATACTTAATATGGAAGCGACTAATCATGTAAATAAGCTTTTTTTTCACAGGATTTTAAATGCAACACAAATTTTTGTTCGTTTACATTTATTCCTTTTTAGGATTTTATCATTTATTTGTAATAAACACTTTCAGAGGGCTATAAAAAAAAAAGTTATTTAAATGTTGAATTATGTTTTTTAAAACATACACGCAGAGTGTGACATCATATTATGACCGTTGCAATGTGACTAGAAATAATTCCTCAGTGCGGTAAACTGAATCATACTTGTTAATCCTGGACCTGGCCTAGACCCGTTCGCAATTTGGTGTTGGGGGAATTTCTCACTTGAACTGAGTTAGTGGGTCCCTAGACATGAAAAATCACAGAGGTGCTCGTCCGCCATAGTGCCACGAATTACGTAATGGTCAAATCAAATATGTCCGCCATCGGATGATGATGAAAATCCAATTTCTTTGTTTCTGATTGTTTATACACATGCAATACCTCTATTTTGACTAATTATGGTATGTGGAATTCATTTCACCCATTGATATGACCCTATTGCGTGCTTTTGACCTTGAAAGGGCATGGTCAAGGTCGTTTTCCTATTCTGAAGAATCTCAAAGACATGTACATGCAAACTAACTCAAATTTACAGTATGCCCTTATACTGTGTATTTGTACAACTCTAGATAGAGTTCACAGAAAATAAGAGGTTTAACTTTTCTTGTATTTTACCAGAAGTAGTCAAATTTAAATGATATCCAAGGTTTCAAAAGTTTTCGTTTCACTATTGAGCATCGCTCATATTGATCAACATGAAGCATTCTAAAATACCTGGCCCCAAAAGCTTGAATTTGGTTGCTTCAATGGCAGATCAGGACAATCTTAATCAAAGGTTATGCATTGCCTGTAACAAGTGAAAAGACAGGACGTGAGAGAATCAAACAAGCTGCTAAAATCCATAATGACGTGGTTACAAATCGTATCGGTTTCAGTGCGTTTCCGTGTGGACGAACGGCCGAACCGCGTAAAAAAAGTCACGGTTATAAAAATACCCGTGTCCGTGTGGACAGGGCCTAAGTCATTTTGTGTTTTTTCTTGTTTTCCAAAGACATTGAAATATGACTTAGGCAATTATGCTATGAGGCTAACAATACAATGACATGTTTTAGAAGTTAAACTTCCAGCTTCTCATGGGATTTTAAAAATGCTGCTGTCATGAACTTCTCAGAGACACGAAGGTTGAGGATCCAAACGCAAAATTAAAGGGTAATCCACAATCGTAATCCAAATCCAGGCAAAGGTCATACACAAACAAACACACATACTGTAACTGAGAATTCCAACAGAACAGGCAGAGAATCAAAAGAACCATGCAGGACCAGCGAGAAACGGGATACAATGGCTAAGAATTGCAGTTTGACACATACAAGTCTTAACAATGAGTGACTGAATGGCCAGGCTTATAGGGTGAGCTAATAAGGGCGGCAAATGAGATACAGCTGAAACCAATCATGTAAGATGAGTTTGACCAATGGATTATGGGAAACGTAGTCCTTGATGGAATGGCAATGAACAAGAGGGGAGTGTCCTCTGGTGGACAACCAGGGCACTCCAGCTGGTTTCTTTCTACCAGTTAAGCTATAGGAACTGTAAATTAATATTTTCATTACATATTTAAATCTTTATTTGCAAACGCCTACCTCTTGACAACTGTTTATCATTCAGAAGATATTTATTCATTTTATTTATAGTGTGATCCATGTGCGCAAAAGGCAACATTTTACCATGAATATGGTTCCATATTTCAGGTAATGCTTTTTGTAATACTCAATTGCACACTGACTCTTTCAAAATAAAAACTTACTGTGCCAGTCAAGATGAGGGGACTGATTCACTTTTTCATTCACTCTGTGTCTGCTTGTGTTCCAGTCAACTTGTCAGTGATGTCCAGGTTGACCGGCTGATTTAAGTCACAGTGTGGTCTGCCCATGCTGACTCAGAGGGACAAAGGGAAATAAATCACGAAAGCCACATCTTACAGTGTCGCCCACCCAGTAGGCAGAGGAGTTCAGATCTCAGACATACATTCTGCAACAGCTCTCCTCTCCCATGAGTCTCAGTGAGTTGGGCTGGGCAAAACCAATGTTTGGAATGAATAATTGGTTGGTTAGTCAAAGATCTTTCCTTTGGTCTGTAAGTTGAACTGTTTCTGTGTTTATTATATTCAGAAATGCTGTAAAGTGGAGGAAATGTTTATATTTTACATGTGGTTTGTTTTTCAGTGCCACACACAAAATATGATAAATGAGAAAATTGTTTATTTAAAATAGGCTAGGCGTTAAACAGTACAGTCAGCCAGTCATTATCACAAAATACATCCCGACAGGGTTTATTTTGTGAAAATACCTTACAGTATCCTTCTAATTAAATAGCTGGACACTTACCAAATAAATAAATACATGGACATAAAATGTGACTATATTCAACACTTTATCAAAATGTGCATAGAACTATATACAGCTATACATTTTTGACTTTTTTTATTTTTGTAACTTCACAGCTAACAAAAATATGTTCTAAGAACGTTTTCCTAACGTTCCCATTAAGTTACAAAAACTATTTCTGAATGTTCTCAGAACGGTCAAAGCATTATTATTATTATTTTTATTTTTTTTAATTTTCTTGGTTATGTGAATGTTAGAGAAAACATTAAGGGAATGTTTTCTCAAATGAAAAAATCTAAAATGATATATTCAATATGTTATACCAACAAATGTTTTTAGATTGCTTTAACTCATCAAATGTCATCAGATTGCTTTAACATTTTGGTGCTACTGTTTTGATAACATAACTGGGTTTTACCATCTTCATTCCTTTAAATGATTAAAGGACTTCACAAAATGTTTTCTGATGTTGTTGCAGTTCGGTTGGTTGAGCTCATTGTTCTGTAAACAGGACAGAAAGTCTCTCTTTGTACATGACATTTTAACTGTTTTCTTTCCACTACAGCTATTGTTATTGAGTAACATTAGTTCATAAGTTCAAAGGGAAATTTTCTTCCATAAAGACTAAGTGAGGAGCATTTTATTAGCAAAATGAATATGGAAATGTTTATTATTAATAGAAGGGTATCTATCATACTTATGTTATATGTCTGTGCTGTACGTTCTGGTGCTCGTGAGTTTTGACACATCTAAAATTGAGATCAGATGAAATGTAACACAGAACTATTATGGGTACTACTTTATTAAACTCAGACCGTACCCAAGCTTTATGAGGCTGACATCAAAATTTACACATTCGCAAACCTGACAAAGACTTTTCCATTGTCAGCACAGATCCGTGATGTCTGGAGTTGATATAATGGGATGACATAATGGAAGCCTTCCATGAAGAGTGAAAACACCCCGAGCACTGAAACTCTCTGGTTCTGCATAGACATGTGGGGGTGACAGGGTTTTTAAAGAAATAAACACCCATGAACATAAGTTTATGAAAGGATGGTCTTTAGTTTTAATAAAACCTCTGAGACAGAACAGTTCCTCCAGATGCATTAATTTTTCACTAAGCTTTCAGACTCTGTAGGCCTAAAAAGTATATAAACCATTATAATTAGTGTGCAGTTTAAAGGAAATGAATGTGCTTAACAACACTTCGTAAGAGAAACTATAATGTCTCCAGTTACCCTGAAAAAGACCATTCGTGTCCTGGAAGAACTGGCAAACGCTAACAAGATTTCCCTCAATTTGAAGAAAATAACTCTTAAGTGCTTCTTGAAAGCTCTTCAAAGGTCTATGTTAGTTAGGCGATGTAAATAATGGATCCCGATTCTCAATGTTTTTGGGCTAAATGCCTCTGAGGGGAAAATGATGAAGGTTGAACTTTCCAAGTTCTTCAGAGACCAAAGGTTGTTATTCTTTCTTAGCTAAAATAAACTGAGTGTGTATTAATCACTTTATCCTTGGCTTTCATCATCAATACATGCCTTAAATACATTTGAATGAAACACACTGGAATTAAATTTAAACATACTAGCAGGAGGCATGAATGTATGCATGAAACGAAGAGCTCCAATTGAACATTTGCAAGTTCTGATGAAGGTCAAACACTTGAAGAATATAGATAGATGATGTTGTGTTTTCTGTGGAGTTTTGTTATTTTTTATTATTATTTATTTATTTTTTACATGTTTAATTCAAATGTGTACATTAAACTAAAGTTACAACTGTTATAAGGAACGTTTTGAGGTTAGTAGCCTAATGGTGTAGTGCCTCTTTAAGAGATGAGTGTGCTGTGGAACATGTGACCGGAGTTCACTGTGTGAAAAGGTAGCGCGATTCATTGAATCTATAATGACTTCAATCCGGTGTGCAGCCACTTGGTGAGCTCTCTTAATTTTAAATGTTTCTTGTCTGCTTTATGATGTATGCTTCATGTTGTCTGCTGTCACCATGCTATGTTGTTGTACTGTGTTTGTGTCCGTTTCACGTTAAAGATAATGCTATGTTCCGGTAGATTTAAACAGTCTAACGTTAGTTGACTGATAAATATATCGCTATGCTTCAAAGTTATTAGTTGACGAGGTAACCGTGAGACAAAGCTAACATTTAGACTTACTTAGAACATCGCTATACTAGACGTGTTGTTTACTTTATTTGAATTTATAAATGTTTGAAGTATGAATCACGGACGGGTATTTAATGCAAGTAATGTTGTTCTTCCTGGTTTGCCGCGGGGTATTCTGGGAACTGTAGTTTAGGTAGGTTTTGGTAAGACTTGAGTATGGTGCATGTTAATGTTGAAGTGTGAAGCGTATACATGAGAATTATGAAATGATTATTATTATAGTGTATTTATGATTATATATTATTATTATTATATAATATATAAATATATATTATATAATTTGTATTTTGATTAATGTTATTTATTGTTGCTTATTATTATTATTATTATTATTATTATTGGGCTATTGAATTGTGTTTGTACTAGTATACACATGAAAATGTAAATGTTGTATTCTGCTTATCTTCTCAGGTTTATTACCTGGTTATTTATTGGTGAGAAAAAATAAACAAACAAAAGTGAACCAAGAAAAACCTGAGTAATATCCTTTTGTACACTGGGTTGCCCTTTCCGTGGGGAGAACACGGAACAGTAATAAACCAAAAGGCCCGAGAGCGTTAAGCCAAGTTTGCCACTACCCTATTAGCATTGACCAGTGAAGGAGCACCAAAAAAGAGAGAGGATCAGGCCGAATAGACCCCTCTGTCAAACAGCGCCTTGGTCAGTGCAGGGAAAGGAAGATGGATTCGGCAGAATTGGTGGCTTTAAAAGGAAAGCGCTCAACAGCACAGAGCTCTTTCAGCAAGAGAGCCAAAAAGCTGTCCCTCACGATAGACCTCCTAGAAAAAAGGGTGCTTATTGACGAGATCAGAGCACTGGGTGTGGACTTTGGAAAGCTGCACGACACTGGACTCGAATATGTTGATGCTCTAGGAGGAGTGGATAGCGACGAAGAAAAAACAGAAAAAGAAGCGGCTCAGGTAGAGGAGAAAATGGCGACGTGTCTTGCCACCTATACTGAAACGCTCCGGCTCGCTAAGGAGACGTTATGGTCTAAATTCGCCTATGTGGACCTTAAATTGTACGCCGACGGTGCAGAGGAAAAATGTACTGAAGTGGAGAACACTGATGTGAAGGAGTTGTCGGAGGATGACTTTCAAGGCCTGAGAGAGGGCCTGGTGGAGAGAATCAAAATGCTTGAGGAGAAGGTGTTTGAATGGGAAAGTCTTGTCCCCGGAGCCAAGACAACAGCGTATAAGCAGCAGCTATACAAGCTGGTCAACAGACTGCATGACTGGGTACGGAGCTGGCAAAAGTTGAAGCGGGTAGAAGAGGTTGACGGGGGAGAAGAGGTTGAAGAAGCAGGTACCAATGAAGAGCATAGCGAGTCTGGCGAGGGTCCCACTAGAGCTGGCATGCAGCCCCAAATCCCCAGTGTAACACCTGTATCTAGTACTGCAGCAGCTGCGTTTCCATATGCACCATCACAGAGCATCCCTGGCCTGCATCCCGGGGCACACGGCTTCAGACCACAGATCAGTCTTGAAAGAACACGCCTGCCCAAGTTCTCGGGAGACATGACCGACTACTATCGGTGGAAGGCTGAGTGGGAAGAGCTGGAACAGCTGGGAAACCCACTGAGAACGGCTGGTGTTACAAGGTTCCACCTCCTGGCAAGTCTCGGCGACAGGGTGAAGAAAGACTTGGTTCTGTCTAGCTGTGCATCGGCGGATGAAATGTTCAGGCGCCTCGACAACCTCTTTGGGAACAAGGCGAAAATCATCCTGAAGATATCCGAGGAGGTTCAGGGCCTACCTTCTGTAAAGGGAGATAACCCTAGGAAAGCAATTGAGCTAATTCAAGCAGTGGAGCGGGCCCTAAGTAACCTTGTGATCCTGGGAGAAGAGGAGGTAATAAAGAACCGTTGGGTAGCGCAGTCCCTTGAATGCAAACTACCAAGTGCTCTGAAGGAGAAATGGATTGCGCACAAGACTGAGCCTGTGAATGGTTTTGCTCCACACAACCACTTCGACTGCTTACTGCGCTTCCTGAAGAGGCAAGAGGTGATCCTGGAGGAGCTAGATCAGCTGGAGGTAGGACTTAGAGAGGGAAGCTCTTCAGTGAAAGGCTCGGCAGACAAGCCAGAAGGAGTCAAGAAAGCCTTCTCCAAAGCTACCTCAGGCCGAAGAGAGTCTCAGTCGAACCCACGCTTAAGCTCGTGCACTGCCTGTACTGATGAGACGCACGCTGGCAGGCTGTTTGCCTGCAAAGCCTTCAGGGAGTTGGATCTCCAGAGGAGGAAAGCTCATCTAAAGACCCATGGGATATGCAATCGGTGCCTGTGCTTCCACATAAAGGATGGCCGTTGCAACCCGAAGTTCCTCTGCAGTAAAATGGACTGTCGCAAAGAAGAGCCTCACCACTATCTGCTCTGCCCCAAGTCCATTGCTCAAGAGAAAGACGTTGGCAGCGAGGTGCAAGGAACCAAAAGGATG